AGAAGTCAATAAAAACACTCTCAGGTTTATAAATCTTTTCCTGAGCAGATGAATTTCATGTGGCTGGTATCAGCTCAGTTACTGCTAATTAGAGCTTTTGGCACATGCAGGGGTTGACATTTAAACCATCCCCCTCATTTTATAACTTTAGCTTTTTACTACTATCACAGAGGATGGCAAGTTCCTGTCCCTTACAAGGTAGATAGTCATGGACATTAGGCATGCTTACAATCTATCTTCCCATGGCCTCCTGGCTCTGACCGATTTTTGAAGGGCCACAAAATGACTCTAGGATCTGACATTATTTCTGCCATCCAAGCAGTGGCTTACTGCCTCTGGATGCTCCTCCATTGCTTTTGTCCCAGGAGTGTCTTCTCCACACTGGGATAAAGGCCTCATTGGCATTTCCCTTAGTTGGTCACTGGACTTGAACTCGGGACCTGAGCACTGTCCCTCAGCTCCCCAGCTCAAGGCTAGCACTCTGCCACTTTGAATCCCAAAGCAACTCTGCTTGCTCTTTCAGCACTCTGCTGGCTGAGTAGAGGTGACGGTCTCACAGGGACCTTTTTTGTGACTGGGCTGGCTTCAAACCAGTTTGCAGATCTATGAGTCTCATAAAAGGCCACTTAACTCCAATGAAAAGCAACAAGGTGGTCAACATAGAAGTAGCTTTTAAGCATGCTCTTACCTGGAACTTATTAAGAGTCAAAGGTACATCTGACAAACTTGTAAGAATCCTCTGTGCTTTGCTCTGGGCTTGCAGGAAACTTAAAAAATACTTATAAGAGCAAACTGGAATAGCAATTATTTTGGTAATCCTAATTTTTCCTGTGTGCACTTTGAGGCAAATGTTAAGAGTAATTTTACTTTTAACCTTTATGTCCAAAAATCCCTTCCTAATTTTTAAGCTTCTTATTAAACTCAAATGACAATTTTTCCTTAATGCAAAAATTATAATCACCATCACTGTGCCAAGAAGCTAGACTTAACACCTTTATGACTTTTAAAAACATCCTAATTGCCGAACATCATTGAAAGCAAGTCACATTATACAAATAAACTTTTTAACTCTCTTTTTAAGGCCTTCCTAATGTGAATGTCAACATATCCAAGGGGCAGTTTTAGCAATGCTAATCAGATGATCACATCACTCATTTTAGCCATCATGTTTCCAGTGTCTCTCTGCAGAGAAAAGGGACAGAACAATGTCGGGCCATTTGGCCCCTCCTGTGGAGTGGGTACACACCCAGTCCGACTCTTTAGGGTTAGATGAACTGCGTTTGGGCCAGCTTGCCCTCTTTCACCATGCGAGGGCTCCTCCCAGGGCCTGTCCCACCATGCATGACCAGCTGAACTGCACTTCTGCCTGCTCACCCCTCACCCCTCAAGATAGCCCTTCTGTTGGCTTTTAAGTTTTCCTAAGTTTTTCTCCCTTTCTTTTCTCTTGGTTCTTGGATGAAATACACAGTTTTAGACAGATAAAATTGGTAACGTTTTTGACACTGTTAAGCTAACCTTTGCATTTAAATTTCTAATATGTATCCCCAAATTTTAGCCAAGGGAACTAGATCCCAAACTGCCAATGCATTTTACAATATTAACTTTTAAAATACCAGATTTTCTAATTCCTTTTTTTTTTTTAATATTTTTTAACTGTATTTTTTTTTTTTTGTCTTTTCTTTTTTGGTACTGGGGATCGAACCCAGGACATTGCACTTGCTAGGCAAGCACTTTGCCACTGAGCTACATCCCAGCCCAAGATTTTCTAATTATTAAGTTAAAAAAATCCTTAAAAAGCCATTTAAAATGGTGTAAAAGTTCTTTAAAATGTTTGGTAATGTCCAAACCTCATAACCTTTTACATTTTAGATTTAAACTCACCCCATTGTTACAGCATGCTGACAATTCTTACCTTGAACATGTTCACAAACACATACAAAACTCTCACGTAGATCTTAAAGCACGCAAAAATCAAAATCAGTTGTACGTACATTTTTTTAAAGTTTTTAAACAAAAATTTAAGACTTTTTAAAAAAATTAAACTAAGTACCTTTGTTAAGCTTCATTTTTTCCAGAGCTTGCTTGTTTAGCAAGGCAATTCATGAATGGTTCTTTTGAATCCCTTCTGTTGGAAGAGGGCTGGGGGAGGGGGTCACCTGAAACTAAACTGGCCTGATTCTTTTATCCAATTTTAGACAAAAGCACTTTACGAATTATTACATTGTCAGGATTAGTTGAAAAGCCCAAACCAAGCACACAGTCTCCTACACCCTCCCCACCGGCGGCCTCCGCAAGGAGAAAATGCAGCCTGAGGCTTGAAGGGAACCAAACTAGTCCAGCAACCTTCCACGCCTCACAGAGAGAGTGAGCATAGCAGGTCTGTGACCGAGCCCAGCCTGAGGCTGGAACTTTTATTCCCCCAGAGATGTTCAGATAAATAACAAAAACACAAATAAACACAAAAACCAAGGATCCACATTTAACACTGGTACCAATTCTAAAACAGAACAAGACAAGAACCAAAGGCCGAGTTGTGGACTAATGGGCCCCCAGTTCATCCCTACCAGAACTCTGTGCAGGTCTCACTCAGCAAGCTGAATCCAGAGTCTGCGGAGTGAGCCTGCCACCCTCACCCAGAACTTTCCCACTTCAGAAAACAGAACAGAAACCACACCCAAGTAAACAAGACAGACAAGTGTCCACAAAGACAAAATCAGGTCTCAGTGAATGGGGCGACATCTCACCACCACTCACTTGCCAGGGGACTCGAACCCCCTCCACTCACCTCTGGAGGATTTTTCTTTTAGATTCCTGCAAACGTTGACCCAGGGGCCTTCCAAGGTTGAGAATTCCCAGTCATCTTGGGGCAAGGGAAAGAAGTCCCTAGCGGCCGTCCCCTCAGACTAACAGGTTTTCCCCCATGCTCAAACCCCCTGGCCAAGGCCTGAGGCTAAAATCTTGTCTGGGCCAAGGCCCGAGGCTAAGATCTTGTTGGTGGCACTTGCAGGTAGTCAGTGGCAGTTTCGTTAAACAAAGAAAGAAACAATTAAGAGAGACACAAACTACACAAAGCGCTGCACGGTGTGGAAAGTCAGGCGAATGCCAGAGAAAATTTCCAACAGACAACAATGCACTTTTCCTTCTTAATAGCTACACTTTGATTTTGAGCTATCTCCTTAACTTCTTTCCAATGGGCTAAAGTTAAATCAAGAGGGCTTGAGGGAACATTCCCACCCATTCTGGACTGTAATTTAGATCTAATTCCAATGCTCCTAGAATAAAAAGTCCGACAAACACCAATGCTCCTAGAATAAAAAGTCTGACAAACACCAATGCTCCTAGAATAAAAAGTCCGACAAACACAAATACACACACAACAATAGTGCACTTCCACAAAAAATAGTCTCTCCTGAGGCCTCTCCTCTGGGATCTAGAGTCTCCTTCTGACACTTCCACCATCTCAAAGACTGCGTGGACTCGCTGGCTGCTCTATCAGCCTTTCCTGGCTCCTGTGCCCACCCTTGGCTTTTTGGTAGTGGGGTACCAAGGAACCCCTTTCCTGAGGATTGGGAGCGTCCTCCATCTCCAGGACTGCAGCTTAGACACGTCTGTCCCCTGCCTTGCAGTCCACCCTGTCTACCCCCGATGCAGTTTTTAATGTAGTCTGCCGCTACGGCCAAAAATGAAAGTAACACCGAGACACAGACACAGACACAGATTAAGCACGCTTCTTACCTTCGGGGTCTGGGGTCTCGGGGACCCTCAGGGGATCCCGGACGAGCCCCCAACTGTTATACCCAAGTCCCAGAGACCTTCCGACGACCACCGAGAGACCAGGCAACCCAAACTACAAAATGCAAGGTTTATTCAACAAGCCAAGGCTCGGGCCTCGTCCCATACCCCCAGACCCAGCAGAGGAAGGGAGGAGGCCCGGAGCAACAATATAGCTGGGCTTATTAAGGCAAAAACCACAAAATTACAGCAGTGCTATGGCTTAGGGACAAGTTCGATTCTGATTGGTCAGGGACCGGGTGTCTGCTTGAGCCATCAGGGCTGACATCTCCTGTGGTTCACCTTCTTCCGACTGGGTCTCGAAACCATCCTGTTCTGGGGTGTTCTGCAATCTTTAAATAACAGTTCCCGAAAATTTTGCACAGACATGTTATTGTTTAACTCATTTTTTTTTTTTTTTACAACTTTTGCAACATTAACTCAGAACAGGAATTAGGGACTGGCACAAGTTAAGTTTTAGAAGCTGTCACAAAATGGCTTTAGTTTGGTTCTTACCGGCTCATCTCTAAGCATCAGCTGATGTTGTGAGGCTCCAGTTCTCTAGTCTCTATGAAAGGTTTAGCAAACTCTTTTCAATCCAGGTGTGGTGGTTCCCGCCTGTAATCCCATCACCTCTCTGAGGCAGCAGGGAGGAGGACTGTGGAGTTCAAGGTCAGCCAGGGAGACTCAAAAACCCAAAACCCCGAAGAAAGATGTCTTCTTTTGGAAAGCTCCACCCCAAACACCTGAGATGTACATTTAGAAGTGTCTTTGTGAACACAGGTCTGTCAGCCTGTCTGTCTCCCCATCCCCCCCCTCCCCCACACTCCTCCCTCACCCAGCCTAGGGCTGGAACTGCAGGCCTGAGCGCCACTCCTGGGCGCAGCTCTGTCCTGATGCCCTCTGCGGCCCCGCCCTGGGCGGGCCTGTGCTCACACCCACGGCCACACCTGCACCTGGGAGCATAAATGTGCCTGCAGCCCTGCGCAGCCGCAGACACCGCCAGCGCCTGCATCTGCAGCCCTAGGTCTCTGTCGCTGCCGCCAGCGCTGCCTACGACGACGGCCACGGCCTCAGCCTCAGCCTCAGCCCCAGCCCCAGCCTCAGCCTCAGCCTCAGCCCCAGCCTCAACCTCAGCCTCAGCCTCAGCCCCAGCCCCAGCCTCAGCCTCAGCCTCAGCCCCAGCCTCAGCCTCAGCCTCAGCCTCAGCCCCAGCCCCAGCCCCAGCCATGCCTCCGTTCCTAGGCATGCCCCCGTCTCCATTGGAGCCTGCGCCCCCGGCGGAGCCTGCGCCCCCGGCGGAGCCTGCGCCCCCGGCGGAGCCTGCGCCCCCGGCCGCATCCACAGACACAGCTGCGCCCGCGGCTGCACCGTCCGCGCATGCGCCGGACTCCGCGTCCGCAGCGTCTACGTCTTCTGCGTGGGCTACGCTTCTGTCTTCGGGGCTGACGCTCGACTACCCCTCCTATGTGGACGTCTACCTCTATGATTTCCCGTGGTCCACAGCGTCCGCGGCTCCGCCCGCAGCGTGGCCTCCAGCGTCAGCGTCGGCGGCGCCTGTGTCTCCGCCTGCAGCTCAGGCTGCGCCGTCCGTGCCGGTGACGCCGTCCGCCAGTGCGCCCGACGCTGTGTCCGCGACGTCTACGCCATCTACGTTGTCTACGCCTTCTACGTTATCTACGTCATCCACGTCTGCGTCGTCCGCGGCTCCTCTGCGCACGTCCTCGGCCTCGTCTACGCGCACAGCCGGGTCCGGGGCTGCGTCGGCTCCGTCTCGGTTCACACCGTCCGCGGATGCAGCCGAGTCTACGTCCGTGACGTCTACGCCATCGACGTCCACCACGTCATGTGCGATCATGTAGGCCACGCGTTCGGATCCAGGCTGAGCAGGAGGAAGGGACGGGGCTGGAGGGCCCGGGACTCCCCATCACCTCCACGCAAACCCCGGCTGCTGCCAGGGATCGAGGCCCGCTCCGGCCTGCTGCTGCCCCTCACGCCACGGGGCCCTGTGGGGCAGGGTGGAGCTCCCCGAGATTGGGCCTGGGGGGGGTGCGTGGGACCCCAGCCTGTCCCCTGTCTGCTGGGACCGGCCTGGGGTTGGTGGGTGGGTGTCCTCCTCCTCCTCCTCCCGACCTGCCTCACACAGCCATGGAGCCGGCGATCGCGTGCACACCTCCACCACCGAGAGCCCAATAAACCTTCTGCATTGTGAGATGACCGTGTGCAGACTTTGTGATATGGAGTGTGTGTGTGTGTGTGTGTGTGTGTGCAAGCCAATAACTGTTCTGAACTATGGGATGAGCCCTTCCCAGTGCTTTGCTTTTCCTACAACAGAAGAGCTAGCACTTGAGCCCAAATCCACTTGCCATTTCTTGGTGGTTCCTTAGGCACTAGGGTCGCAGTTTCCTGCCCAGGCTGATTTGGAGCCGGCCCAGGCTGTCTTTGAATAGCCAGCTTCAGATCTCAGCTTCCGGAGTAGCTAGAATGACAAGGGTGAAGACAGGCTCTCCCACAGCCATCCTAGCTACTCAGGAGGCTGAGATCTGAGGATTGGGATTCAAAGCCACCCTGGGCAGGAAAGTCCATGAGACTCTTATCTCCAATAAACCACTAGAAAACCAGAAGTGTCCTGTGGCTCAAGCCGTAGAGCGCTCACCTTGAGCTGAAGAGCTGAGGGACAGCGCCCAGGCCCAGAGTTCAAGCCCCACAACTGACCAAAAACTAAAGAAATGCTCCTATTGAAGCCAGGTGCTGAGATTCAGGCCTGTAATCCCAGATGTTGAGGAGTCTGAGCTAAAATCTCAGTTCAAGGACTGACTGGGCAGGAAAGTCCATAAAAATTCCAATGAAGAAGCAAAATGCTGAAAGTCTTGTGTGACTCAAAGTGGTAGAGGGGCAGACATGTGGAAGAACAAACAAGTGAGAAAGCAAAAGCAAAGCCTTGCCTGGGGTTCTAGACTCAGTACCAGCACTAGGAAGGAAAGAAGGATGGATGGAAGGAAGGAAGGATGGATGGAAGGAAGGAAGGATGGATGGAAGGAAGGAAGGATGGATGGAAGGAAGGAAGGAATCTCTGAGACTCTGAGTGTCAGGGTCCCGTGGGGAGGTGGGGTCGTCTCTAATGGCTTCGTGGGCTGCAGTTCTTCGGTCTCTATGAGGTTCAGCATCAGTTTTCTACCCAGCTGTGGTGGCACAGCCTGGAATCCCTCCGCCACTCAGCAGGGGGAGGAGGGAGGCTGGTGAGGTCCAGGCCAGCCAGGGGGACTCTACCATCCAACACCCCAAAGCCAGATGTCTGCTTGCTGAAAGCAGCCACCCCACCCTCGTGACATGGGGCTCAGAGGTGCTTCTGGCTGCTGGATCTTCGTGGACGCGGGTCTGTCTGTCTGTCTCTCCCCAGCTCCCCGCTCCTCCCTGTCCCTCGGCCTGTCCCGACGGCGGCCTGCGAGCTCCCAGCCGGACTCCGCTCCTGGAGCCGCCTGACTCCTGTCTCGGGGCCTGCGCGCACGCCCGCGTCCACGCCGCGGCTCTGGGGGCCAATCCGCCCTTGGGCCTGCGGTGCGGTGCTGTGCGCTAGGTCTGTGCGGATCGCCAGAGCTGCAGCCGAGCCCCGCCCCGCCACAGCTCCGCCCACCGCCGCCGCCGCGCGCGTCTGCGCCTGCGCCGCGCCGGCCACCTCGACGGCCGCGTCGAGTCCACCGTGCGCGCACACGCCCGACGCTGCGCCCGAGTCTCCGCCAGCGACGTCTCCGCCGTCTGCGTCCGCCTACGCCGCCGGCGCGCACCCTGCCTACGCCATCTGCGTCTGTGCGGAAGGCTGCGCGGCCCCGGGACGTGCATGGTGGACGCGGGAACGGCCGCAGGATGCCTCGGAGAAGAGGCCCCGTCATCCCCGGCTCTGACAGCCTCTGCTGCGGATCCTCTGACAGCAGCTTCTCCAGATCCTGTCACAGCCACCGCTCCAGATCCTCTGCCAGCGATTCCTCCAGATCCTCTGCCAGCGATTCCTCCAGATCCTCTGCCAGCGATTCCTCCAGATCCTCTGCCAGCGATTCCTCCAGATCCTCTGCCAGTGATTCCTCCAGATCCGATCACAGACACTGCTGGGGATCCTCTGACAGTGATTCCTCCAGATCCTCTGCCAGCGATTCCTCCAGATCCTCTGACAGCGATTCCTCCAGATCCTCTGACAGCGATTCTTCCAGATCCTCTGCCAGCGATTCCTCCAGATCCTCTGACAGCGACTCCTCCAGATCCTGTCACAGCCATTACTGCGGATCCTCTGACAGCGACTGCTGCGTATCCTCTGACAGTGATTCCTCCAGATCCGATCACAGCCATTGCTCCAGATCCTGTCACAGCCACTGCTCCAGATCCTCTGCCAGCGATTCCTCCAGATTCTCTGCCAATGATTCCTCCAGATCCTCTGACAGCGATTCCTCCAGATCCTGTCACAGCCACTGCTCCAGATCCTCCGGTGTTATCCTCAGGCCCCAGCGATCTCGGGGCACCTCCCCGCCTCCCCGATCCCGTCCCCGCTGGAGGTGAAGCCAGCACAAGGGGCTCCATCCTCATCTGCAGCCCTGACCTGTGGCCCAGCTCCCGTGCAATCTTGTAGGCCAAGAGCTCGGAACCAGGCTGAGCAGGAGGAAGGGACAGGGGGTCTAGGGGGCTCCATGTCTCCCCATCACCTCCACACAAACCCCGGCTTCCTGCCAGGGGCTCGAGGCCCGGCCTGCTGCTCTCTCCCTCACCCCAGCGGCTGTCGTCTGAAATTTGGGGGTCTCCTTGGGGTCCTGTGGGGCATGGTGGGGGCTCCCTGAGGTTGGGCCTAGGGAGGGGGTGTGGGACCCCAGCCTGTCCCCCTGTCTTCATGGGGGGGTGGATTTCCTCCTCCTCCACCCGACCTGCCTCACAGAGCCTGTACACAGCAATGGAGCTGGCGATCGCGTGCACATCTCGAGATCTATGAAACAAATAAAACTGCATTGTAAGATGACCGTCTCCAGACTTTGTTATATGGGGTGTGTGTGTGCCAAAAATTGGGTTGAACTCTGGGAGGAGCACCGTGTTTGTGCTTTTTTCCCCACAAAGACCAAGAGCTACCACTGCAATGGAACTCCACTTCCCACTTCTTGGTCGTTCCTTGCAGATCAGAATCTTCAAGATTCCCTCTCAAGCTGGCTTTGAACCACCATCCTCAGATCTCAGACTCCTGAATATCTATGATGACAGGCTGGAGCCATTTGTTTGTCTCCTTAGGGTCTTAGGACCGCCCTCCCCCCAGATTTGCTCAGATTTGGTGAGTTTTGGGGCTGGATGATGGACAGCGTTGAGGGGTTCTTGTGGTAATGAACCCACTACTTAAAGAGGAAGAACTCCATCATGTGAGACATAGGTCAACTCATTCATGAGAAGCTCCAGCATTTTGTCTAAACTGCTCTACCAACAGATTCAATGATTCAGCCTAAAAATCCCGTAGCCAGTGATAAAGATTGGTTTTAGCTGGGCACCAGTGGCTCACTAGCGACTCAGGAGGCTGAGATCTGAAGACCACGGTTCAAAACCAACCCAGGCAAGAAAGTCTGTGAGACTCTAATCTTCAATAAACCACTCAGAAAACCGGAAGTGGTGCCATGGCTCAAGTAGTAGAATGCTTGCCTTGAGCAGAATTGGTGAGCGACAGCGCGCAGGCCCAGAGTTCAAGACCCATGACTGGGGGTGGGGGTAAGAATGTTTTTTCTCACTCCACAGTAGTGCTCTATCAGCATTTTGCTTGTTCGTTAGACTTTCTCATGGACTTTCCTGCCTAAGCAGGCTTTGAACTGAGATCTTCAGTTTTCAGTCTCCTGCATATCTGGGATTACAGGCATGAGTCACCCACACCTGGTTTCATTGGGACCATTTTTGATTCCACCTTGACAAACATGGAATTCCAGGATCATTGGAATGATGCAAAAGCCAGTGATCAAGAATGGATTTGTAGGCAGAATCCCGGAACCTGTTTGTAGAACAATTTAGAGAAAATGGGGGATGAGTACAACTCTGCCCTTCTGTTCCTGGCCCAGTTCAGATGGGGCAGGAGGGAGAGGGAGGGGAATGGGATTGGAGTAAGAGGAGAGAGCTGAGGACAGCGGACATGGGGAGACGCTGACAGACCAACAGACTGGAGTTCACAAGAAACCACCAAAGGAAAAGACTTCTAAATCTCAACCTCCTGAGTTAGGCTTGGCTTCTGAGAGATGATGGGATTATAGGTGTGTGCTACCACACCTGGATAGAAAACAGATTGCTAAACCACTCATAGAGTGAGGAACTAGAACCCCACAATGTCGGCTGAGGTTAGAGATGAACCTACTTCCACACGTGAACCCAGAGACTCAGAATCTCAGAAAGTCCTTCCCCCTCCCTTCCTTCCTTCCTTCCTTCCTTCCTTCCTTCCTTCCTTCCTTCTGTCCTTCCTTCCTTCCTCCCTCCCTCCCTCCTTCCCCCCTCCCTCCCTGCCTCCTTCCCTCCCTCCCTTGTGCTGTTACTGGGTCTTGAACCTCTGGCAAGCCTCTGCATTCACATTCTGACTTAGTTTTCTCCACTCATGTCTGACACGCTGCCACTTTGAGTCACACAAGACTTCCAGCATTGTGCTGGTTCATTACACTTTCTCATGGACTTTCCTACCCAGTCAGGCTTGGAACTGAGATTTTCAGCTGTCATGCTCCTCAGGATCTAGGATTACAGGCATGAGTCCCAGCACCTGGATTTAACGTGGCCATTTCTTATTCCACCACCACCAACGGGAACATCACAGACAGAGGTAATGAATGAACAGCGAGTGCTACAAAACAGATTTTTAGGCAGACTCATTGAACCTGTTCATCAACCAGTTTCGAGAAAATGAGGTAGGTTTTCATGAATGAATCCCTGTTTTTCTCAGTCCCTTTGGGGACTGAGTTTATTCCATGAAAAGCCTAAAGGCTGCCCACATTCTACACCTGAAACCCAGCAAATGGGATCAAGTCTCCTGGGGGGTCACAGGACCCTAGGGAGATAGGCCAGGGGCTTCCCGCCTGTCATCCTAGCTCCTGAGAAGGCTGAGATGTGAGGATGGCTATTCGAAGCCAGCCTGGGCGGGCTCCAAGTCAGCCTGGGCAGGAAAGTCCATGAGACTCTTGCACCCAAGGAACCACAGGAGTTGTGGGAAAAAGCCACAAGGACAGTGCTTGGTCCCTGAGTTAAAGGCCAAGGATTGGCACGTGTGTGTGCGAGCACGCGCGCACACGCGCGCACACACACACTATAAGTACTTCTGGAGACAGTCATGTTTTGTTCAAGAAGGTTTATTTGGCGGGTCACAGAAGACAGGGGGAGAGGCTGGGGTCCCCCATTCGTAGGCCCCCGACGCGCACCCCAAGCCCTACCCCACGGGAGGTGAAGCGCCTATGAAGTGCTGGGCCCCGATTCCCGGCCTCGACCTGTGGTCCAGCACAGATGCAATCTTGTAGCCTAGAAATGAGGCTATCTCTAATCTTCAGCTCACATCGTGTGGCTCTAGCTCTTCAGTCTATGAATGGCTTAGCTATCAGGTTTCTACCCAGGTACCAGGCCCACCCCTATAATCCCGTTCCCTCTCAGCAGCTGGGGGAAGGGGGATTGTGAATTCCAGGCCTGCCAGGGAGACTCTAAGAACACAAACCAGAAAGAAAGATGTCTGTTTTTTTTTTAAAGACCCCCCCCAAACCCTGGAGATGGAGATGGAGAAGTCTTTCTCTTTGCTGGCTCCGTGTGAACTCCTGAGTCTGTCAGTCTGTCTGTCTCCCCATCCTCCCCCTCCCCCTCCCCCACACTCCTCCCTCACCCAGCCTAGGGCTGGAACTGCAGGCCTGAGCTCCACTCCTGGGCGCAGCTCTGTCCTGATGCCCTCTGCGGTCCCGCCCTGGGCGGGCCTGTGCTCACACCCACGGCCACACCTGCACCTGGGAGCATAAATGCGCCTGCAGCCCTGCGCAGCAGCAGACACCGCCAGCGCCTGCATCTGCAGCCCTAGGTCTCTGTCGCTCTCTCCAGCGCTGCCTACGACGACGGCCTCAGCCTCAGCCTCAGCCTCAGCCTCAGCCTCAGCCTCAGCCCCAGCCCCAGCCTCAGCCATGCCTCCGTTCACATTCGGGCCCCCGTCCCCAGCGGAATCTATGGACACAGCGGAGCCTGCGCAGCCAGCCACGCCTCCGCCCGCGGCCACGCCTCCGCCCGCGGCCACGCCTCCGCCCGCGGCCACGCCTCCGCCCGCGGCCACGCCTCCGCCCATGGCCACGCCTCCGTCCTCGGCCTCGCCTCCGTCCTCGGCCTCGCCTCCGTCCTCGGCCACGCCTCCGTCCTCGGCCACGCCTCCGTCCTCGGCCACGCCTCCGTCCTCGGCCACGCCTCCGTCCTCAGCAACGCCTCCGTCCTCGGCCACGCCTCCGTCCTCGGCCACGCCTCCGTCCTCGGCCACGCCTCCGTCCTCAGCCACGCCTCCGCCCGCAGCCACGCCTCCGCCCGCAGCCACGCCTCTTCCCCAAGCCACGCCTCCCTCTGCGCCTTCTCCAACCAATGTCTGGATGCCTACGCCAACGTTCACGTTTATTCCTCCGTCTGCATGGACGCCTGCGTACGCGTTCATTCCCACGTCTGCACCTACGCAGCCCACGTCCACGCCTCTGTCCACAGCTACGTCCACAGCGGAGCTTACGCCTGCGTCCGCATCCACAGACACAGCTGCGCCTCCACTTGCGTCTGGGGCCGCACCGTCCACGTTGACGTGGATGCCTGCGTCCACGCATGCGCCTCACGCTGCGTCCACGGCGTCTACGTCTTCTGCGTCCACTACGCCTCCGTCTGCGCTGCTTACGCCCGTCCACCCCGCCTGTGT